AAAGATTAACTTTTTGAATGGAATTATGGAAGTTAACAACTTTTCCATGATATTCAAATTTTCTGGAAAGGGTCTGAGAAATGTATAAAAGGTGCTGTTTTTGTATGACAACCCAGTGACAAGGATGCCTGCAGCGCCAGCACAACGTTATGACATTGTGCCCACTGTTGAGTTTAGTTTTGTGAAAATGTATAAATTTGCACTGTTCAAGTCTTGTCATTGTGTTAGAGAGAGTAAATGTCATGAATAAATTTGACATTAAACATAATCCAAGTTGAAGTGTTACATCATTTTCATTTCCCTTTTTGGCATCTGCATTTGGTAGCAGGCCAAATTGACAACGACCATGCAGAATAATGTAGTATTTTAATTCCACAGCAGAGAAAGCTATGTATTCTCTGTAAGTAGGTCTAGGGGAAAAATATCGGTATTGGTATCGGTTATCAGCCAAATACGTTTTAATATATCGGCATATCGGATATCGGCCAAAAATCCAATATCGTGCATCCCTAAATAAAAGTGAACTCATACTGAGTTACACTAAACAATTATCCTAAATAACTGCATATCTTGTATTTCATCCTCTAAAACCAACTGCAATTAATCAGAAACTTGTACAAACTAATTCAAAGACATTTTCTCACGTCATTCAATCAATCTATCAATCAATCAATCTGTTCATTAATTTAATGAACTAACAGTTTGAAAACACCAACAGACGTAGAAAAAAGGAAACATCTGTAAAGAAAAAGAAAACCCTAGTATTGTTGCCCATTACCTAATGGGTCTAAGACGTGGCAGTTCATCACTGTGGATACACTTATCAAGCATTCCTTCAAATGATCACAAACTTCAGCAATAAAGACACAAAGTTTCAGGTGAAGTGTTCATAAAAAATAAATTAAAGAACTTTTTCAAGTGTTCAGAGTCATTGTTTCGGAGTGGTTCAACCATTTCCTCCTTGAAGGCCTCTGCAGCACGAGGTCCAAAAAGTCAAAGCAGAGAGTCCTAAAAGTCGCAATTTTTACGTTTTCATTACGACTTGCTCTTCAGCGTTGGCCCAAATATTTTCTTCTTAGGAGCAGCAGAGGGTTGGAGTTTAGGTTTGGGAGCAGCTGAAGCCTTTTTGGGTTTGGGCTGGAGTGAACTGAGCCCCAGGATCTCGCAGTACTTGTTACACTGGTGCAAAACTTTGAACTGGTCAATGAAAGACGTGGCACAGTTTCCTTTGAACCCCTTGTATCTGCAACAAAAAGCAACAGTTAGTCATCCCTCCAGGAGTAACAATATGCACCTCCAGTATTCAAGTTCAAATAAATACCCTTTTTTACAGGTTGCTATTCCCACATCTGTGAGCTTCATGTCAACTCCTGAGAATAAAGCAGACTGATTTATAATCCTCAGCAGATTAACTTGTTGCACAATCATTTTGTTTCCGTTGCCCTGACCTTGCATGTCAGTGACCAGCAGATTGCCCTCAGTGTTTTGGTAGACCCAGTGCTGGAAAGCGCAACATTTCTGTCCCGCCTCCGAGTCGCGTCTCATCAGGTTGATCTCTTTGCCGTCCTTGACCGAATACTTGACAAAGTCACCGATCAGCTCCTCTTCCAGCGTGGCGTAGGGGACGTTGTTGGACGGACGGTGAACCAGGTAGATGGGAATGATCCTGGTGTGTACATGAGAGAAAGTGACATGATATACAAGAGAATAAACGGGTTGTTTTCAGGTTTGATGAGTTTGTCACTCACTCCGGGACGTCTCCGAAGGCCTCAACAGACTGAGCAGCAGAGGTGTAGGCCTTGATGTACTCCCTTGCTGTGTTCTGGACCTGACACTCCTATAGAGCAAAGATTAAAAATAAAATCATAAAACAAAGAAATACACACAATAAATTAAAACAAAATAAAATAACAATCTGAGGTGTTGATATTTTCTGTAGCATTTTGACGATTTATGTACAAAAATAAATCAAAAGTACTTTTCCAAGCCTCACCAGTAGTTTCAAAGGTAATGAAGTAAACAAAAGTGTGTTGTTCAAATTTATAAAAATTAAAATCATTACAATATTAATAATGTATAAAGCAAATATTAGAACAATGAGGTTTAACTTATGAAAATACAAATAAAGTAAATCAAACTTAGCAATAATAATAATAAGAAGAAAGCAATAAAATGGAATTGTATCTCTTTATAATTTTTGTTTATGAAAAATTAATATTTACAGAAACATACCATATATAATCAAAAGTATAATTTTCTTTTTATATTTTCTTTTATATTCTCATTTTCTAAACTTATTTTTAATACTTTATTTGTTTCGTTTTTCTTTAACCAATACTATTAATCTTTTGTCTAAACTCTTTTCTTTCTTTTGTTCTTTTGTTCTTTCATTCTTTCTAGATGTATTTTTTTCTTGTGCCTTTTTTTTATTCCTAATTTCTCATCAGAATAATTAGTCAGTCCTTTTGATTTGACTTTGATGACTGAGTTTGTAGACATTTTTTTAAAGCACAGCGCTGACAGATAATAAAACTTTGGTTTACCTAAACACACAGATGCACTGTTTGGGTCAGTTCACATCGTAAAGGGAAAAGTCCACCCCTTCTTGTTACTTATTTCCACATTGACAACACAGTATTCAAGTGTCAGAATATTCCCCAAGCCCTTTAATAAACTACAGTTTGGAAACTCAGTTTCTGATTGGGTTCCTGTCCGTCTGACAGAAAAAGTATCACCAGTGAAGCTAACTGTGATGTTCTCACCTCCACAGCCAGATTAAAGTTCTTCTGAACGAGCTCGTCGTTGTTCTTGGTCCCATAGCTGATGGCGTTGTGCACTTTGAGCACACAGGCATGTCCCGGAACCAGCAGGGGTATCTGACCTGCCTTCAGGGTGGTCCGGAAAGCTCGCCGATGCATCCCCTCTCCAAAGTGAGCCTTTTCAGTGATGATGCTGATGGGATGGTTCTCTCCAAAGTACTGCTCTGAGAGGAAATCTTCCCTGAACAAGAGCTTGGAGAAGTGGGCGTCCTCTTCTTCACTGCACACTTCTACAGGTGTGGCTGGTAGCAGAAGATGTAAATAATTTGTTGAGAAAAAAGCTTTATAAAGTAAACAGACTCAGTGGTTATCAGTACTTACATGAAATGGTCGATGGAGTTGCAGGGATGACAATTTCACTAAGAACTAAAATATAATCAGAAAAAACAACAGAATTAAATGTTTGTTTTTCTTGTTCAGTGGTCCTATAGATAACATTGTCTTTTACCTTCATATGTAAGCAGATAGTCCAGGGTGATTGAACCCTGGGAGCTGCTGAGGCGACACTCAAACTTGCCCAGGTCTTTGTGGGTGGCGTTGGTGATGGCCAGTGTCACTCTGCTATCATCCCCTGCACTTCATAAAAAGTGGAACAGTCACAAACGCAGCATACAAATCTCTGAGTCATCATTCTAAGAAAAAAAAATCTTTACAACAAATTCTATTTCTTCAGTACATGATTAAACCTAACAAGAAGCAAGTGAAATATACTTTTTTTTTAGTAAATGTTTGTATAAATGTGGTAGTAAATGACTTTTCTGCTTTATAAAAAGAATAGATCCATATCTTAGATGCAGGTGAAATTAATACTGTTCATTAAAAGTTCAGCTTTGCTTTGTTTGACTACGCAGAAAAGCAAATCTGGTTTAAAAATAACTATTTATGGGACGTATAATGTTTAGCTATACAGTAATTTATCTCACCACTTCTAAAGAAACGAGTTACAGAAAGTTAAAGTAAAGGTTTGAATCTTTTAAAGTGGGGTTTATGTAGGTAGCTCTCTGACAGCTCCTCAGAGCAGAGCCAAGACCAAAAGCAATTTGGTGCATTTGTGAATTGACTCCAAACACAACAACTTAATAAACAAGACCATTAGCAAGCATTAACAAGGCCCTTCATGGGTTTTGCTAATGCTGTTTTAGAAACCTTTGCCCTACACAGTTATTCCAAAAGAAATGATCATTGTATTTGGGGCAAAATGAGGAAGACCAGCGACAGCGGTGTGTTGAAGGGAGTGTGAGCTGCTATAAATGTCCTTGGGGATGAGGGAGCAGAGCATCTTCTTTGCATAAAATCCAAGAAAATTTGAGATAGTCAGCTTCCAAGGCTGACACGGGGGAGCCAGATTTAGATAACAACACTGGTTGTCATTGGTACTGGTACATCTCAGTGACGACTCCAAACAGCCATATTTGTGGTCAGTATCACCGAGCCAAGCCTGTAACTTCTCCAAGGTCGACTCCTTTCCACCAGCGAGATTCAGGAGCCGCAAGTAGAATGGGATTCTCAGCAAAAATCACGTCCAGCTTACGGCTCAGCTCACACAACATTTGAATCTGAGTGTTCACAGCTTGGCATATTCCTTTGCCAGGCAGCTTCACAATGGCCAGAACAGCTGCCGGCATTTTTTTAAATTTGTTGATATGCCAGGTAACCACCAGCTCCAAAAAGAAGAAATCCTTTTATCATAAATCCAGTTATGTAAAATCTTCAACTTCCTCTATGACAATGTGGGCAGACACGCTGTCTTCCACTGCCCCAGGAATCCATCGTGTATCCAGCTGCAAGTGTTCCATCGGGGCAGGAGGGCTCTCCTATGACTTGTTGTCTTGTCGAGAAAATTTGATCAATTACGTTGAGAGACCAATTGACAAGATCCATAATTTACAATTCGGAAGATATACAAAGAGAGGCTCTGAAGGTTCACAGGACAAAGAAGCAGAGGGAAGGAGTGGGAGGAAAAAGTGTTCGCCTTCACTGAGAGCAAGAAGGAAAAAAAAATCTAAGATATACGCTAAACACTAATAATATAAAACAATATGGCATAAAAATAGCAGCCCGGACATACTTGCAAATACTTGCAAATAACAGAACATTTTTCATGGCATTGATTCAGAAGTGCAGGCTTACAAAATAGCATTCGCATGGATTGACAAGAAAGACTGAAGGTATATTAAAACAACAGCAATCCACTCTGGTAATGACTGTTCTCCAACTTGTCACAGTTTGCTGAGTTTGTGGACTTTATTCTGGTATGGTCTGCTCTTTTCTTGGTTTAGCTTTCCTGTAGGTTTATCATATTTATTTATTCTAGAGTTGATCAGACATTCTTAGTCATCAGTTTTTTTTTTTTACCTGTTTAGCCTTGCATTTTTAGGTTTTGTTTTATCTACATTTGCAGCTAGAAACATTCAATCACATTTTTTATGTGTCATTTAACATCCTGCATGGTGACAGTGAGTGAGTTTTAACCAGGGTAGGGGTGTGATAAAAAAAGGCTGGGAACCTCGTAAAAAAATGTAACACCACACTTTAAGAGGGGTACAGAAGCTGAAAACAGAAAGGAGTGATAGCCTGGGAGGAAATATGAAATATAATATTTGATGGGCAGAAACGCCTGGCACTCACTTCTCTCACACTAAAAGTGCATGGTGTTACCAAACACCTGCTCATAATGGAACATTTGTATGTACTGGTTATGTATATTGTATATATGCATTGGGCAATAAAGGAAATACCTTCTTTTGCTCTCATCCAGGATGGTCCCCTCTCTGCTCCAGGTCACGGTGTAGTCTGAGTGGACTGCAGCAAACTGACACCACAGACATAGACTCTGATGGTCCTTGCTCACTGACACTGCCTGGATTGGCTGCACCACCTTAGGCCCTGCAGAATCAGGACATTTATGATGACAGATGAGATGAGGCATTGTATTTAAAGCAACAGTTCTCAAATAGAGGAAAACTGCTTGATGAGTGTCCTCACCTTCCTTTGGTGGGACTTTCTGTTTGACCACCTCACTGTATGCTTTTTTGCGAGCTGCACCTACATTCCTCTGGGTCTCTTCTTCCTTTGCTTTGACTGAAGCATATGTCTTTGGCAGTTTAGACTCAAAGGAGCTAACAATTTTCCCCATTTTATCTCCTGACATCCGTCTCCTTTTGATGACATCATCATTTGGAGGGTGGGAATAATTTTTGGTCTGGAAGTCTTTATGATCTGTGTGGTCCAGAGGTTGCTCTACATGGGGCACTTTTTCCTCTAGATGTTTGGACTTTTTCTCAGTACGGACTGACTGATGACCATCTTTGTGAGCCTTTCCAGTTTTGGCCCCAAACTTGGCCTCAAACATGTCTATCCTTCCCATTGTACTTTTTGGTTTTGCTCCATTCTCCACATCAACTGATGACTCGGCTTCACTCTTGACAGTTGCAGCCTGACCATGTTTCTTTTTCTTCTTACCATGCAGCTTCTTCTCATTCCCTCCCATGCTGGTCTCAGTTATAATCTTAGCATCCTTGACTTCAATCGCAACTTCACTGCTCTCGCTAATGTGACTTTCTCCAGTTGTGAGATGACTTTCTTGCTGTTTGCAGGACTGCTGCATGGAAACATGATGAGATGTGTTCTCTTGGTTTTTGGAAGCCTGCCCAATATGATGGTGACCACCAGATTTTTCCTTTTTCGAGCGTGTTTTGCTCTCTGCAGGATTCTTATGAGTTTTGTGAGGCATCTTCAACTCAGTCTCCTCAACTTTTGTAGGTGTCAAGATGGGTGGAGCTGTCCTGGGTATAAAGGGATCATTTATATCTAAAGTGAGGTATGCAACACGCTTTTTCTCTGAGATGAAAAAATGATCTAGAGGGTGAAAAGATATGTTTACTAGAGCTGTGCGGAAATCTGTTATGTCATCGGTTGCAGTGAGGAAACTCTGTTCGTTGTCTTCAATGCGCTGTTCCTGTACCCCATCTGCTGAAGGTGTTATTGTAGCCTGCTTTTTCTGAATCAGCTCCTCATCGCCTTTGCCAAAGGATTTGTCTCCATCTGGGCTCGAGCAGAGAGTCAAATCTTGCACATGACCACAACCCAAGCAGTTGCTTTGAGTCTGATCACTGTCCAAACTGCTTTTAGTTTGACAGATGAAAGAGGAGTCACTGCTGTGTGAAGCTAAGTGCGTAGTAAACTCAGGACTCCCCAAATGTAGCTCCACCTGGCTTTTTCTGAGAAGATCTGGCAAAGTGTTAAATGACACATCTGTACAAGGATGACATTGTCTGTCCACATCTGTGTTTGTTGGAGGAAGCCTGCTGAAAATATCAGGATCTGTTGTCCACGTGTTTCCTTCACATTTAACTCTCTGCTTTTCAACCGAGCCTCGCTGTGACAAGGTGCATTCATCAGTCACTCGATGCAGTCCATCTCCCCAGGGCTGGCAATGAAAACAAACAGATGACAAGAAAAACTTACATTTTTTTAAAAACTGAACATTTCTGTTACTTAATATCAATTTAAGTTTTTTTTTAAATCTGTATAGACAAAGACTAAAAAAATTTCAAATTGGGTAGAACTCAAAACTAACATTTATTTTGAAAATTAAGATTTCAAATTTGTTGTACAATACATACCTGTCTACGGAGCCACCAAACAAGATGACAAAATTCTGTGTTTCAGTATTAGACCAGACGGTCCACATAACCTGCTACAGTTCAAATTTGCTTTTGGGTCCAACCTAAGTGAATGAAATGTGTCTTCCCAGTCTGAGGACCTTTCAGCTCCCCCACATAGGGTTTTTAAAAGTGAGGTGTGGTTGGAACGAGTGTGTTAAAGGGCGCAAAAGAGAGAGATAGAGCAAGGAAGAGTCGTGTTTCAATCCTCAGCTGCGCTCGCCTCTCACCCTTCCATCCTGACAAGTCACAGATGTAGGCTATTATCAATGGACTCTCAGCTATTATTAGACGCCATTTCTGTCTGAAGTCTTCCTCTCAGCCACTTCTGATTCCTCCAGTCTATCAGCTATTAAGACAGAAGCCAAAGGACTTATTTAATAATGCAAGGCCAAGGCGAGAGTTCTTGAATGGCTCCCACTTAAAACAAGTTGACAATACTTGTGAGTCTCGTGAGAGGTGGGATACATGGCTGACTAGCTACGAGTACTGAAGGTATGATGGCAATCACAAGGACAAGAGAGGGAATGTCTCAATGTTCTGGCTCTGTTTCCAAAATGCACGAAAAATGTATCTGTTTGCCAATGATGTCAATCTGATCGCTCCTGTATAAAGGGTGGATCTTTCCACCTTCTCTACCACAGCGAGCGCAGCATGTCCCTCTGACATGAGAGTGTTTTGCTAGTCTGTGTCTGATCCATCTTTAAATTTAGTGATGCAATACAGAGTCACGCTTCACGCTTTTTACATCATTCTATACAGAATGTTTCTCAATTTTACAAAAATTAAAGTCATCTTACCTCTTCCAATACCAGCTCTGGATGAGTGATCGAATCTGTATCCTCTGTTATATTCAGTTTGATTGGAAGGACCTCGTTGCTCAAGAAAATTTCATCCTCAAAGATCCTAAAATATCCATCAGTCTTAAAAAGATCCAAATCAGAGGAAGAAGAAGTTACAGTCCTCAGTGTGATCTCAGCCATGGTGTACCCTTCAGAAGAGGCCGTCACCCTGGGTGAACCCACAAGCGAGTGCCTTGCAAGCTGTTCTCCTTTGGTGGTATTTTCTGGGTCACACAAGGATTCAACGATCTTCAAGTCACTGTTGTCTTGATGTTCAGATCCTTCTGTTTGAAGGCCCAAAGAGAGACAGCTCTGATCAGGATGGATGGAGCTCCCTAGGATACTTTGATTCTTCAGAAGCTGACCCTGAACTCCCATATCCTCTTTGGCTCGTTCTCTCTCTGTTGCCGTTAGACTTTCGTGCAGAGTGTCTGACTCTGTGTGAGCATTCAACTTGTCTAGCGATTGCGTCAAAGCATCTATCTCAGCTCCTATCTCTGCAAAGGCAGCTGCAATATCTTCTGATGGATCCTCGACAATCCCAGTCCAGTCTGAGAGTGCAGTTGCCCAGCTGTCCACTGATGACCATCTCCTAACAGGTGGCCCCCAACCCTTGGTGTCATCAATGGAGCAGTCAATCCTCTTGCTGTCACCGGGGCTGTAACCTGACACTTGATGTTCTCGTAAAATAAAGTGGCTTGCTTTGTCCAAATTCTCCCCATCTTCTTCGTCCTCACCTCTCAGATCCTGACATGCATCCATCCAGTGTTCGACTGGGCTGTCGCTGCGCTGCAGGTCGAGGGTTAAATCAGTGACCTCTGCTTTGCCTGATCTCACATCACTTCCCAACATCAACTCCACACCCCAGGCCTCCACAGCAGGTGGTCGTAACTCTTCATGTTGACTCACTTCTGACAAGTTGCTCTCTATAGATTGTTCTTTACTAAAGCTGTGATGACATTGTGACACAATGCCTTCTGAATCACACATCAGGACATGTGGACCACAGTCATGGTCTGCCTTCTCCTTTCCTGTTTGTGATAATGGCAGGTATTCAGGGCATGTAAGCTGACTGGGATCTACAGTTTGGCTGAGAATAAAATCACGTGTGTCACCTTCAAAAATATAAAGGTCTGACATGGGTCCTACCATTGCATCACTGTCTAAACTATCAGATGGAGCTGATAGTGATCTAAATATTGAACTATGGTCCAAACTTGTGGGTAATAGCTGCTTAGAAGGTTCATGTGAACCAACTTCCTTCATGCGAGACAAAGAGAGTGGTGGTTCTTTTTTTGCACCAAACTCTACAGATGTGGACTGAACTGAACGAAAGTCACGAGGCAAAAGAGGCGACACTACACTTTCGTATTCTGGGGAATCCAAACACCTATGCTCCTTTCCATCACTTTTCAGTAAAGGCTCTAAACAAATTGGAAAATGCTGTGAACCATCACAGCTGTGCAGCAAGCACTTTAAACTATCTGTGGCTGTGGAAGTGTTTATTGTAGATTCATGAGTTGTGCCTAAGAGGCCAGATTCAGTCTCTGTCTGTGATTCAGGTGCAGACAACAAAACAGAATCCGTGAGTGAATCCCCAGTTTGACTCTCAGTGGGAGCAGGTGTTTGGTCGTCTGTACACAGGACTGACGGATCCATCCAGACTTCTGGTTGTGCTTCTGTCAGCTCTCAAACTGCAACTTCAGGAGTTTTGGGACCAACTTCTGCCTGAACAGATGTACTTTTTACATCGCTTCTTTCTTGCATTATTCCAACTTTTGAATGCAGCTTTTATTTTGAAATTCACATCTGAAAAGGAACAAATAAGATTACCTCTAAAAGAAGATCTCAGCTAAACAACATAAATGAACACTTGATGCGTGTGTGTTAAAAAGAATCACCTTGAAGTGCTTAAATCAAAGGCCATTATCTAGCTGTCCCTGGGTGATATTTTTATCTAAGCTGCAGGAAACAATTAAGTTAGAGTTGTGTTGCATTTATTTTAGGGATTTTTAAGAGATCTTTAACACTCTTTATCAAATGAAACCTTCCTTTTGCTCTTACTTTGCTGATAAAAGTGTCAGCTCTGTGGCAGCTATCAGCTAAAGATTACATGCGTCAGTTTCTATTTTTGCAACTGGGAGAAAATTAAACATCAGAACATAAAGGTTCTCTTTTCTGAATTGTAAAAAAAAAAATCAATTACAATTTTTGTTGTTGTTGTTTTTGTTAGTTTTTTATTTTTATTTTTGCTGTATTGGGGTTTGGTGCAGTTTTTAATATTGTGTTAAAATAGACACTGCCATTAAAATGTTTTTTCTTGTTTTATGTGAAAAAATTGTACCGCAACTTAACTGATACAATGTACTTTTAACTAAATATAATAATAATTATTATTATTGTATAATTAGTTTAGATAATGGTCATTTTGTATTATCTTCTTGTGGATTCTTTCAGATTTCCATAACTTCTTTTCCATTTTTTCTTTAAAAGCAAACAAATAAAAGTCATTCTGCAACCAGCAATCACTGAGCCTTAAAAAAAACAAACTATTTTCTAGTATTTGACATTTGGTCTTATTTTCATTCTGATTTATTTACATTTTAGTGTCCAAGCAATCTTTGGAATTAGGGACACATGTGCCTGGACTCATATGAAGCATTGAAGGTGGAGGCTTGAAAACACACACCCCGAAACACAAGATGGAATCTGGTGGCAGAGATACTGGAAAAATACCAGCTCCTCTTCCCTTCTGACCTGCATTTGTCACATTTCAGCTCCATGAAGGGCACGCTCCAGCCTCAAATGTTTACCATGAAGTACAAGTCCTGCCTACTGAAAGTAAATGGAGTCAAATAATCTGATTGAGGGGAAAAAAATAAAAAATAAAATGACCCAGAAATAGAAAAATGCTCACCTTAATGATTGTGAACTTCTAACTAATGAACAATACAATACATATTTTCTCAGTTAAAGTATTTTCTTTTGAAGCTCGGCTGGCAAACTTCAAGAAACAATTTTAAAACTGTCTCACAATCAACAAGATGGTGGAAATTTGAATGAATATGATAAAATGTGTTTTTCTTTAATATAATCAAAGGCGTTCACGCTGATGCTCAGTAAAATGTGTTGAATAGAGTTTGTTTCAGCCCGTCAGGAGACAACATCTATGTTCACCAACACATCACACAATCAGATAACAAGCTGCCTCACAGATAAACCACAGCTGAGTCAAGTAGTATGATAATTACTTGAGGCAGTAAAACAGTTGTCTAGTTTGTAAGGGGGTGTCCAGCCATGCAAACAGTACATACCCATTTCATAGTCGTGTGCTTGAGCTTATGGAGCCATGATGAAGGACTTCAGCCACAGTCTCGGGGTGTGGGGCTATTTTTACATGTTGTCCCCCATAAGTACAAAGTCAGCTACCTGATATTGTAGACATGTGCTGATCCTGAACATTTCAAACCTGATACGTTTTACTTACAGGCTGTTTCAGAGATGGCTGACTTCTTTACAGAACCAGTTTTGTCGTCAGTTCTAAGTTGAGCCAAGGAAGTTTTTGACTCATACTAAAAAAAAATTCTAATTTGTTTGATTGATCGTATTAATAATAACTAGGGATTCATTTTAATCATGACAACAGTGGATATTTTGAATGAAGAGAAAAGGAGATTAATTTCTGAGTTCACATCAGCTAAACCCTCTTGCTGCCCTTGGGTCAAAAAGTCTCAGTTTTTGGGGTTAGTTGGACCCAAGGGCAGCAGGAGGATTACATTTTATTTATTTAAGCACATGAAGAAAAACTAAAGTTACAGCTTAATTATGCTGTGTATTCAAATGTGATGTAATTCTTGTAACAATAAGGCGTGTATTTTTTAATAACTTTTCATTTATTTTAATTACAAAGAAACAGGATGTTCTCATTACCAGCCAAAGCAGATTCATTAACACTGACGTGCTTAAAATGATTTGACTGCATGTAGTTCAGTACAGTTTATTAATTTATTGTCAGTTCACAACGACAGTCAACAAGAAACAATTCAAAAGTCTCAAGGCACTAAAGAAATAATGGGACCAAACAAAAAATCCATTTAAATTCAATTAAAACAATAAAACAGTAAAGTCAGAATCAGTATATTATAAAATGCCAAAACCAAATTGATGTTCATCTCTCAGTTGCTTCCTCTTTTCTTCCCATCTCAAACTAAAAGCTGATTTTTGTTTTTATTTCAGAGCACAAAAAACAAACAAACAAAAAACGGATTAATTCACAATTTTTTTTGGATTAATAATTTCCTTGATAAATAAATAAATAAATAAAAAAAAAATATATATATATATAATTTTATTTTGAGGTGTAAGAAAGTTGAGCTGATTATGCTTCTTGATTTTCCTCCTTTATGTTTATCAAAACTTGATGCTATGATTAAAGTTGGAATTGAGGTCAGAATAAACGGCAACAGACCTGGAAATAGAGCAGATGCATAACATAGTTCAACTTCAAGTCTCAGTGTTTTAATCTTAAAATATATCTGTACTCAGTGGCTTTTAATTCAGCACAGTAACTTTTACATCATTTTGATGTTTTCTTGTTTTGATAATTATAGTTTTACTTGTTTTACTAAAATTACAGTTTGGTTCATGAATTTTTTTGAGCTTTCTTGTTGTTTCTTTAATAATAAATGCACAGTACATTTAGCAAACGCCGTTGCTTAAAATGTGATTTATAAATAAACTTGAACTGAGATGAATGACTCCCTCAGCTGAGGCTGAGACTCCTATAGTCCATAAATCTAAAGCCAATAAAAAAATAATTGGACATAACTTTTACAAAAATGAAATAAATAAATAAAATAGGAGTCATTAAAGAATAAAATATTTGTGATGGTAGATGGGGCTGCTTGTGTTTTCATTACACCCTTATAAGCAGGAATGTTTTTATTTGTCAACCAGTGGGCTCACAAATCTCAGCTACTTTTATTTTGTTGGTCTAAAGCTGAAAAGGTTAAGAAACTACAATAAATCAATAGCAGGATCCCAAACAGTAGAAATACCTATCCTGTTATTGAGGTTTGAAGGTTTTACATTCATTTTAGGGTACATGTGAAGATAAAACATTCAAAGGCCTTTATGACAAATTAAAGAAATGTTTAGGAGCAATACTAATATCTTTCAGAATCTGTTAACCAAACAATATTTCTTAACCGTGAAATGACATTCTCAGTCATGTTGTTGCAAGCCTCTGAAGCTGACATGTCCTCGTGTCCTCCTGTAGTTGTCAAAAGAAAAGTATCATCTTACGCAAGACGTATTTTTATCCCGTGTTGTTACACAGACTGCCTGCATGTGTCTGGACTCCCAGGACAACACATGGCGTGACATCTAATCACAGTCTGAGTGTGAGAAAAGCAGCTGAATGATGCAGGAGTGTCACAACAAATTAACTAGTCTGACATCAATCAAGACCTGCTGAATGCTCAGTTCAAGTTCAAGTCCTGAATCAGAATCAGACTCTGCTTTATTGTCGTTGCACCGAAGTGCAACGAAATTACATTTCAGAACAGCCCAACAGCCCGTCTGAGTAAAACATAAACAACAGACATGAAAGACGGAGGTGTCTGAGGCTGTGGCCTCGTGGGAGGCCGTTAGATAGGAAAAGAGAAACACGGGGAAAACTTCAGCACAGAAACAGCAACATACTGATGACATCATAAAACTTATATGCATGAAAAAGGCTGACGAAGGTGGTGAGTTTGTCCGTGGACACTACCAGATAGTCCCCTAGTCTCGTTAAGAGATGGTGCAGTGTCTATCAGCTGGCTCAGCTCTGATACAGGTCCACAGATGTCCTCGGGATGGAAGCGGGTAGAGGAGGGCTGAGCAGAGCTTCTTGTTCCATAACATCCAGGAGAGTTTGAGAGCTGGCCAATTCAAGGCCAGGCTGGGTCAGGCTGACTCTGCTTGATTTCTGTCTACCTTATAGTTCTACTGGTACATCTCAATGGCGACTACAAACAGACTCATTTTGTGGTCAGCACCGCTGGAGTGAGCTTGTAGCTTCTCCAGTGTTGATTCCTTCCCACCGGTGAGTTTCAGGAGCCGCAAGTAGCATGTGATTCTCAGAAATCGCGTCCAGCTTACGGCTCAGCTCACACAGCATCTGAGTCTGAGTGCTCACCGCACGGCACATTCCTTCACAAAAGCCGAGCAGAACCGCTGCTGATGTTTTCCGTATTTGTCGATATGCCAGGTAACCGCCATCTCCAAAAAGCAGAAATCCTGTTATCATAAATTCAATTATGTACGCATCTTCAACATCCTCAATGGACAATATACACTATCTTCCACTGCCCCCAGGAATCCATCGTGTATCCAGCTGCAAGTGTCTCATCAGGGCAAGAGGGCTCTCCTTCTCCCTGTCTTGTCATTGGAAGAATTTTATCAATTGCATTGAGAGACCAGCTGACCAGATCCATAATTTACAATTTGGAAGATATGTAAAGAGAGGCTCTGATAGGGTTCACAGGACAAAGAGCAGAAGGAGGAGCGGGAGGGAAAAGTGTCCGCCTTCGCCGAGAGCAAGCAGAAAAAAAGGGCTGAAGAAAAAAATTATGTAAAGAAAAAAAAGTTAGAAGTTCATCATCATAGCGTCAATCATGTTATATCCTCTGTTACCAGAACGTTGCTTCATCATCTTCATTTCATCACTGATAAAAATACCTAGGAGTGTGTGTGTGTGTTTGTGAACGTCACAGACAAACAGCAGCAGAGAGACGGGGGGATTTCTTTCAGGTTGCTCACAGTAAATTGGTCAGCTCACTTTAATGCTCGACTAAGCTCCTGCCTCATTGCACTGTAACTGATGCAGGCTGGGAACGAAGCGATGGATTGTACGTCACAAGTAACTGAGCTCCTTTGTTATGATCTCATCAGATAAGTTTCTGTGTGTGTAATGATCGTGATCCGGTGTCAGGAAAAAGTTCAGTGACGCTACGGACCCAAGTTATTTGTACTCACTGACGTCAGAACTAAAAATACACGGAAGATGTTAAATGGTCAAACACAGGAAGGTATTTTACTGTTACAACTTTAGCCCTTTCATTTTAAAATTAGATTCTGAAAACAATATGGAGAAACAGTGAATTACAACTACTGGCAGTAATGATGGAGTTAATCTTGGAGGATGTTTTTCAGTTGTTTAATATTGTATAAAAGAAAATAAATAACAAACATGCCACACAGCTATTCTTTTTTAAATCCTAATTTTCTAAGAAATAATCTAAAAAAGGAAATATGATTGTGATTGTGAAAAAGCTAAAAGCCGTCACTAACACAAACAGAAAAAAACAAAGTGACAGAGTGCTAAAGAACCGGTGAGTGGATGCAAGTGTCATGTCAGTAAAGACAGTCATTACATCTTTAATAAATACCAAAGTGTGCATTCTAATTTCTGACCCTTTTCTTATTCCATCAGTTGAAAGGATGTTTGTTATAATTATGACTTCATTGTTCAAGATAAGCACCTTGTTGAAGGACAAAAGACGTGCAAACTTTCCTTCAAGAAAGATACATAATGTCATGGCAACTATGGAGTGCCATTTGTAAAGTTACAGTCAATAATTAACAGCAATATTTTTGGTTTATTTAGGCTTTCATAAGAACATTTTTTTTTCAGTCATATTTTCACCATGCCATTCATACATTTATAAATGTCATAGTTCCACACTAAATATTTAATTTACAAGATACATATTTAATTTCTAACCTAAACATTTAATTCCTAGAGTAAATATTTAATTTGCTATCTAAATATTTAGCTCAAACCTAAACATTTATTTTCCAAGCCAAACATTTAGTTTCCATAATAAATATTTAATTTGCTAACTAAATATTTAGCCCGGACCTAAATATTTAACTTCCTACCTAAACGTTTTGCTTGCTAGCTAAATATTTAGCTTGCAAACTAAATATACCTTTGCTTAACTTGCAAGTTAATTTTTTAGGTCTGTCTTAGCAAACTATTTAGTTAGCAAATTAAATATTTATTTTGAAAATTAAATGTTCAGCTTGGAAAATAAATATTTAGGTTGAGCTAAATTTTTAGTTAGTAAATTAAATATTTACTTTAGGAATTAAATGTTTAACTTAGAACTTAAATGTTTAGTTTGGAAATTAAATATTTAGCTTGAACAATAAATATATAGTTAGGAAATTAAATGTTTAGTTTGGAAAACAAATATGTAGTTTGGAAATTAAATATTTAATTCACACCTAAATATTTAGTGTACCAACTAAATAGTAAATTTGCAAGTTAAGTATTTAGTTTGTAAACTAAATATTTTGCTTATAAATTAAATATTTAGTTGGGAACTACAACATTTGTAAATGTATGAATAACATGGTTGAAAGTAAGACTTTGAATTAAAAAAATATATTATTAAAGGCTAAAAAATAACAAAATATTGCTGTTAATTTTTGACTGTGTAACTTTACAAACGGCACCCCCATAGTCAACACCTGAAAACAATCACTCTAGTTGAAAATCTCTGGTGGAAATTGAAGAAAAAATATTTATACATACTGTAAAAGCTGTCATCGAGAAGGCTCCAACCTTCAAAGTTCATCTGGCAACAGAAGTCATTTTAAAAATATTTTTTCATGAAATAATCATTTTAGTTTAAACAACACCATGCAAGTATGGCATAAAAGAAACATTGCATGTGTAACACTGCAGTATGAGGCATGTAATAATTCCTGTAAACCAAGTTTGGTCACAAAAACCATCATCACTGAGGAAATGTTCATTTTTTACAAACTGTTTACACAGGAGCCACAACATGGGGTAATAATTCTTGTTTATTTTGTGTGTTTTTTTTTGTTTTTTTATCTACTTGCTGCTTCGTTTCAGGAAAAGGAAGGGCTTCTCCACCAACACCGTGAGAGCACAGCTCACCACCAGTGTCAGCACCAGGTGGCCGAGGAACAGGTACATCTAGAGAGGGCGGACATCCAGTGGTCCAAAGACATGAAGATTTCAATAAACTACTCCAGTGTTTTGGCTAACTAAGATAAATAATTGGAATTACTAAATTAAAAAGATGAAATGCTCACAAAGTTGATGTCAGTGTAGTGGATCGGGGTCTCCTGCAGGCCGTTGTAGAGGATGATGAAGACAGGATGTATTAGGTAGCAGGCAAAGCTAATGTTGGAAACAGGAACCCAGAAACTAAAGGATAAAAACTTATTGATAAAACCTGAAAAAACAGAAGCTGAGTCAGTGCATTGTATTTTTTACATCCATGGCTTTTTACTGAAATATGAACAAAGTGGGAAAAAGTCTGGAAGTTGTTGAGAATCTAAACAAACTTCATCAGGAGTTTTTAAAACTTTTTTTAATGTTTGAATAAAAATGTGATTTGTTTACCTCCGTAGCCGTCCTCACAGGCCAGTATGATCCAAGTGACAGTCAGGGCCCAGACCGGCCTGTGGAGCCCCTGATACACAGCGCGAGGCAGTGATGGGTAGGTGGGGGTCTCCTTTAGGAGGTAGGCAAATCCAACCAGTGAGGCCATCAGTGACAAACAGCAGAACCAACCAAGTGCTGCCTGCCACTGATCCAGAAGAAAGACAAGCTCAACGTGGCGATAATTAGTTGGGTGGAAATTAGTTAGAGGAAAACAGTATTTAGAAAACACAAATTCTGCATTTTACCACAAAATATATGATTTGAAAGAAACATGTGGGTGGTGATATTGTGGTTTGAGCTTGTTTTTACTGCAGCTAGGCTCGAGGTTTTTGTCAGTATGTTGTGACATTCTGCGTTATAATGGACACAGAGTTCAAGGAAGCTAAAGTTAATCAGCTTCAGGGGTGCTGGGTGAAAAATATGAAAGGTTTGCAACTTTTATTTTATTTTATTTTTGTCCCAGAATACAGCAGCTTCAAGGTGAAATGCTATGCTTTTCATTTCCTGGAATATAACTTTCATTCTTGCAGTCATGGTCCACCAATCGTGTCTTTTTCCCTTAATTTGCACAATGAAGACACATTTCTGTTTTACTGAATACAACCACATCAATAACAGGTAATTGAAATAAATTAATTTAGTTACAAAAAATTGTTGGAACTAAATGAATTACTTTAGGTCATAATTTCTGTTTAATGTTTTGTTCAAATGAGCGTGGTTGTTTTTTTGTGCTAAGCCTCCCTTTAATTTTTTTTTGGAGTGGATCCATCGAACCTTTGATTACTTCCTGTCTCCCAGTCAGTTCACCAGCAGGCCTTGATCTTGAATAATTCATGCTTATCTTTTTGTTCGCTCCTTCTTGTCCACATTAGTCTTTGTTAGCTGATCTGAAGATTTGTTTTTGGTCCTTCAGTTTATGTTAAAGAGCATTAATTTCCTCCTGCCTGTGCCTCTTTGCTTGTTTGGATCCTACACGTCCTCTTTCACTAAAAATAGAAAGCTATCTCTTAAAAAATAATTTATCTTTTTTTAGATTTAAAAAAAAAAACAAAAACAAAACCTAAGTAAGAGTTTTTCTCCAAAGATTTCTTTCACAGGAAAAAGTTAAATTTGATTTACAGAGAACACAATAAAAAAAAATCTACTATTCAAAGCCTTTTTGCAGTATCAGCATTTTGCCAATAGAGGGCGGTACAACTCTTTATATCACTTCCCTGCCAAACCACAACATTAATTTGACCAAAAAGACACTGAAACAATAATACATTTTTAGAATAGCCCAAAATATCTTCTGAGCTTAGAGTATGGATGGAGGTGAAATGAGCAGGTAATAGTAAATAAAACACTTGTAAAAATTCAAAAGAAGACAAGTAAAAAGTATTTTTGTCCACTCCGTTCTATTGAACTTTCAATTTCTGAAAGGGCATGCGATGGACTTGCAACCTGTCCAGGGTGTGCCCCGCCTCTTGCACAGTGATGGCTGGACATGGGCACCAGTGACCCCCGTGACCCGAAAAGGAAGAAGCGAGTAAAAGATAATGGATGGAATTTCTGAAAGGTTGACAAACTTTAAAGAACTTCTGTAAGGTGTAGAGTTTCTATCGAAATAAACCCTTCGTCTCACCTTGTGCTTTAACAGCTGATCTTTCTTTGCTGACAGGTAAATTCCTGTCAATATCCCTATTAGAAATGGTCCATATCTCGTGTAGGGTTTCACATAGTAATACAAAACATAGTTTTCTGATGTCCTGCAAGAAGAAACACAATGAGCACGGGTCAACCTAAGTTATTTGAACATTGTAATTGCATCTTACATTGTAGACGGCTGGAAGACTGGCAGGTGGAGGTGTGCAGTAGTGACAGCACTGGCCACCGTGGACATCAGCAGAAGGCCTCCCACTACAACTGCAAACACATTCCTTTTGCTGAGGAGTAAAAGTCAGAATGGATGAAATTCAATCGTGAATATGAGTTTTTAATCCCGTTAAAAAATGTGGACTCACAGTCTATAAAAATAGACCAACAGAGGAGTGGTGGCGTAACACTGGAAGTCTAAAGACAAGTACCAAGTCCAAGGAACGCACTGAGGGGAGATTTGAAGTAAAATGTTAGGAAATATGCACTTAGAGCTCAAATGAAGAAAGTTAGTAGGTTTCAAGGTCAAACGTACTATCTCATGGACTGGGAGAAGATTGCTGATCAGCAGCAGGTTAGCCCACCAATACGTTTTACAATCCATCATTGAAGCCATAGATGGGAACCAGTAGGGGCCCCATTGGAGCAAAGAGATGAGGCTGATAGTTAGACACATAGTGAACAGATGCAAAGGCTGAATCCTAGGACAGAAAGACAAAGGAAAACAATTTGTTGTGCCAGTTGCTGAATTTGGATTATTATTTAATTGGATTATTTAGCTGAGGTAAGATGCCTTTTAATCCTCTTGAAGAGATAGTTTGCAACCAGACCGAGGGTCAGTTTGTCTTCAGCCTTGTCGATAGACTTCAGCAGAGACCTGGCACTGAGCAGACCCCTGCAACACAAACATAAAATGTACAGTTTCCAACTTTTTATATACGTCCTGGTAAAAGTAAAACCGCCCTCGCTCTAGTCTTACCCCAGTAATAAGAAGGAGTCCACAGCGAGGAAAACAGGCCCACTGATGGTAAATATATATACTGGACTGTTTTCAACTGTTTGTCTCCAAGTTTTGTAGTTATCTACAAGAACATGACAATGTAAATACAAATTATTTGTGAGTGATCAAATGACATTTTGACTGCCATCTTTCTTTCGTACCCAGGTTGCTAATGACGAGGAACTGTGTGGAGTGGCCACAGATGATCCACAGCAGGCTGAGGACACGTATGCCATTGAGCGAAGAGTAGCTTCTAGGTGGGATCGAGGATGAGGAGCCGAAGACCCTCCTGCAGGTACGCTGTAGCGAGAACGCCTGAAGGCATTCGTGCACAGAGCGTTGAGAAATACACCACCGAGCAGAGCTGAGGCGGTCTACAAAAAGAGGTTGATGGGTAAGGGTTTGTTTGGAACGAATGGACTGTAAAATGCACATTTTACGTACTGTTTTCTTCTGATGTGCTGCCTTTTCTTTCGCTGCTGGACAGGCCGTTGATCCTGGGAGTGCCATAGAAGTTAAGGCCACTGTTTAAAGGAGGAAACTCAGCTGTAGGATCCGTTCTGCTCCATTCTGATCTTGTTACGGCTGTGAAAAGGGTGGCTGCAAGAGGGACGGCTAGCATCACGCAACACACAAACCTGCAAGACACGAGAACCAGTTTTAATCAGTGATGGTTGTTTTAAAAGACAAATACACAGAGTTCTGAACATGACAAGAAACTAATCCTGTTTGTTTTCATTCATTCAACCTTTATTTATACAGGTTAATCCCATTGAGCCTCTGGGACTCATTTACAAGAGAGACCTGATTTTAACAGAGAGTGATGACAACAGTGGAACAACAATAGACAACCAGAAAGGATGCATACAAATTGAGTTTTTTTTTAAACAAGTGGAAGTAAAATGGTATTTAAGAGAAAATGTGACAAAAAAAACAGCTAGGTTGTAAGACGATGAGGCTGTAAGAGTGATATGAATACAACCACCGTGAAATCTAAAATATGATTAAAAGGGATGCATTTAAACTAGAAGTTGGGCAAAACTTGTTTTAATAAGCTCTAGGTTTTTGTTTCCTATAGAAATCCCTTGGTGTTCGATTATTTTGGATTTCCGAATTATTTTAAATCTTTTGAGCAGATGTTTGGATTTGCTCATTAATTCAGCTTTATTAAATGATAAACTTTTATTTCAGCATTATAATATTGACTGAACTCTAGCGGGAAATTGTTGGACTCTGCAAATCTCTTTTAGCTCAGGTAAACATGACTGCTTGTAAAAAAAAATATATATTAAATGTCAGTTTCAACATAGATAATGTGGCCTTTCAAAATAAAACTTTCTTGGTACAATATAAATTGTTATGTTACAAAATATATTTGTAGTATAAACTCATAAAATTCACTACCTGTCTGGTCTAAGCCTAATCTTAAAGGGATAATTCAGATCTTTTTAGATTCAAGCTGTTTAAAATTAAACAACAATAAATTATTGGTTTTGGCCACATTTGGGCTAACGGTTAACTTGCTAATTTGGTCAGAAGTTTACAAAAGACAAACAAATGTGAAAGATGGACGCGTTTATCCTCAAACCTCATGTAGACATTGGATTTTAATTCAGTTAGATGCAGGTTTACAACAATTATTTTCAATTTATGACACATTTTAGCCAATATTTTTTATTTTAACTCAACAGCTCCACTTATTCGTCATCTTGAAAGAAATGTCTTAGTGCTGGCCCTGTAAGGCCATGACAAGGGGAGGAGAAATAGATCATTTACTGACATGCAGGCAACACCAGATGTTTCAGGCTCAGGTGCGTCGGGCAAACAGTGAGACATGATCATCTCCTGAGCGGACGTGTTGCTCAGGATGGAAGGTAAAGGAGGAACGAGGGACATCGAATGAAACTGAAGTCTGCCTGTTTATAAATGAAATGTTACAAGACAAACATAAAAATATAATGCTTCAACAGAAATTACTTTTAAAATCACTCACCGTCCAATACCAGTGTTTTTACATCCTCTTCCCCACAGGAGTCAGGAACGCAAACACCCACAAAATAATGGAGTGCCCCCTGCAGAAGAGGAAAAGTTACACAAAACCAGTTTCTTTCTGTTGCGTAACATCTGTACCTTTACATCTTCACTGACTGTGATGGTGTTTATTGATATCACCTGCTTCAGGAACACCTGGCAGTACTGTCCAGAGAAGCCGGGACCGACGGCGGAGCGGCACTGCTGCAGCAGACCGGGCTGGTTGACGTTGCCTCCTTCAACATTGCTGCCCATTTTTCCAAATGCATCGTACACTGTGAGTAGACACAAACACATCTACAGAAATCACAAGACTTTAGGTTTATTGAGCACAGAAGTTTTTATTAAATTAAGCAAATTTTTGAATGAAAATTGAATTTTTGAGATTTTTCAGTCTGGTTTTAAACAACTACACAGCACCAAAACAGCCTTGATAAGGGTCTGTAACAACATTCTTTTAGCAAATTATTCTGGTCAGGTTGTGATCCTTGTACTCCTGGACATTACCGCTGCTTTTGACACTGTTGACCACAGTATGTTTATATCACAGTTAGAACACTGCAGTTGGGATTACTGGTACAGAATAAGAATGGTTCTGTTCTTATCTGAGCGACAGGAGTTTTTGTGTTAATGTTGGTAATAGTTTATCTGCTTCAGTGCCTCTTTACTGCGGGGTCCCGCAAGGCTTGATTCTTGGACCCCTTCTATTTTCATTGTATCTGCTCTCCTTGGGGTATATCCTGAGGAATCATTTGTTTCATTGCTATGTTGAATATTGTCATATTTATCTGCCCTTAAAACCAAATAGTTCATGCACAATTCACCCTTTGTTAAAATGTTTTGATGACATTAAGACATGGATGGCTTCAAACTTTTTAAGTTTAAAAAATCAGAAATTTGAAGTTATTGTTTTTGGCTCTAGCTCTACTGCTGTCTCTGTTCCTGTAAACCTTGACTCCCTTCAACCGTATCCTAAACAGTCTGTTACAAATCTCAGGATGGTTTTAGACTGATTATTAGTTCAATAAACAGATTAAGCATGTTCTACAAAAAGCTTTTTCCAGTTAAGGCAGATAGCTAAGCTTAAGTCAGTGTTGACCAGATCTGACCATGAAAAAAATAGTCCATGCATTTGTTACGACATAATTTTGACTTGACAAAAGCTCTCAGGTGATCTATAATATCTACTTTGACTTGAGTGTGACTGCAGGAGAAAACAATTTTTGTTTTCCTATTTAACTTGAATATATCAGTGTTTTGCCTGATGAACAGCTTACTTTTGCACCCTGCCATGTAGGAAATGAGGTGTTCATAGTAAAACACTTAAGCTTGTTTTCATGGTCTCAGAAGATGTTCAGATATCACCTGAAAAGATCTGAATCCTCTTCAAGTTTTGCATCTACTTACAAGAACTCATTTATCCATGAAACATTGTGATTATTCATACAAATTTTCAACTGCTCTGCTGTACCCGTGCGCTTTGCACAATAAATGTCAAGGTCAGTTTAAACAGCAAGTAAATTGTTTAATATTAGATAAAAGATTTATTGTTACATAATCTGAAATATTAAGAGTTGCAAAGTAACAATCGCATTGATATTTACCTTAAGTACTTTATATTTATATCGTCATTATGACATGATGTTATATTTGTTAAACCATCATAACACATTAAGAACATGAACATATTTAAAAACTAACTCACCTGTCCTGTCTCTCATTTTAAAGTCCAAGATGAAACTTATTCTGCTTTTATAATGTTTCACATCATAGAACCACATAAATAAATGACCTCATTGACAACTAAATTAATATTTTAACTAGATGTTAAGTTTTGAAGCCCCCTACTCCTAAGAGCTGATTTACCTCGCTCCAGTCTAATTCCTGTATTATAACTGTTCCTGCATTTGGTGAAAGCTAGACGTAATAAATAATAAAGACAATATTTTTCGAAATGCATCTTGCAAAAGGCAACAAAACTTACTGAGAACAGCATATTCCTTTGGTTTGTCTTGGTTAATCTCCCAGAGGAACGTGTTGATGTCCTTCATGCATCTTTGCGATGAATTGCAGGTCTGCAGGTTTTCTAGCGCCCCACAGACTCCCACTAACAGAAACAAGACAACCCAGCCAGGGGCCATGTCAGGACTGACTGCATCATTTCAGAAGAAAAGGGCCTTAAATAAGAACATAAATAACTCATCACCAGGTGAGAAGAAGTGTGAAATTAATTTTCACATGTTGGATGAAAAGAAAAAAAAGGTTTTGGAAACTTTGACTTGTCCGCACCTGTTTAGTCTTATAAAAACAGGATTTAGTCTCTCAGAGGGACAAAGGCAGACTACGTCACTGTGTCACAGGAACACGAATGAAGTTCAAGCCAAATTAAGACTGCTGGCCTAAAATCTTGAATACAAAAAATAAAATGAAATGTTTTTATCATTCATCCCTGATAACTCAAACACAAATTTGAAATAGATGAATTATTCTCATCCAAATTTCTGCTAAATTTGTTTTTACAAGAAGCATAATAACAAAACAAATAACAGTAAAAGAAGCACCTTATATTATTTTCCCCCAAGTAATGACAAAAAGAAGTCAGAAAAATTTAACATCATATTAGCATTGCATTATTATCAACTCAAGCAATGCAAGTTTTTTATTTTAATTTTTTTAATAAGGAAACACCAAGCAGAGATGCAAACTTGAAATTAATGAAAAATACTAGAGGGGGAAGTTGTCTCAGAGATTTACTTGGAAATTCATGCTGAATACAGCACCTCAGACTGAAGAAGTCTTTTGGATGAAAGACCAAACCTTTCTACATTTTTTTGTTGTTTGAATGTCCAGAGGACCAGATTTAACTTTTTTTTTGGTTTTTTTTTTACCTGGATTATTGAGCATGCATCAGGATATTAGAAATCCATAGTTTTACCTGGCAACAACAAAATCACAGTGGAGCTCAGCTATGTTTAAAACTTTGTGTACTTAAAAGACATGAATGCATCACTTGAATCATCAGATCTGACACATGACTCTACAATATGTCCATTAAATGCTGTTAAATGTGCCATCAGAGCAGCCCTATATGTTTAAAAACTAGATGAATACACTCTTTCAATAATATAAAGGATTGCACTTTTTACTGTTAATAAACATTACACTCACTCCAACCTCACTTACTTGTAACAAGGTTATAGACAGGTAGGGGAGCTGGTATCAGGAATAAATTCTTGCTGCCATCGGCTGAGAAACCTAACACTGCGTTCCTAATCTTATTACTGTGTGTCTAATATAAAACTACATGTATAAAATAAAAATGTGCAAAAAAATGCAAGCCAAGTACATGATATAAATGTGTTTTGCTATGAAAACAGCACATTACCGTATTTTTTGGACTATAAGGCACACTGGATTGTAAGGCACATTGAGGAAAAAAGTTTGTTTTAACAGATTTTTGAGTGCTGTGTACCACATAAAAATCGATCCGAGGTCAGTAAGCACAACCAGAATTAATATATAAGGTGCACCAGATTATAAGGCTCACTGTCCATTTTTGAGAGAATTAAAGGATTTTAAGTGTGCCTTATAGTCCGAAAAATACGGTAATCAAAATAATAATGGTGCTATAGCTCCCAGAAGAGACTTATGGAAAGAAACCTAAATTTCTTATTCAATAAAGTGAAAGACCTTTAGATTTTAACACACTCGTTTATCAGAATCCAGCATTTATTAACTTTCAAGTAGGAATGTAACATTTCATGAAAGAATGATTCGCCCATCACCTTGCATGTCAGAGTTTTAAACTAACACTTTGCACAATCTGTTAGCACTCAGACTATGTGTTGGGGACAACTCTCAGCCATTACCACACTAAACATTAGCTCAAAATCTGCAACTACAACTGAGGTGTGGCTATTTTTGAGTTTAGCTGATTAGCTATCTTAAACTGAGTCGACCCCTTCAGTTAATCAGTTATTTATGCCCATTTGTTGAGAACTTCCTGAGAACTTCATTAAAATCTCTGCACTGATTCATAATATATTTTGCTAACAGACAAAAGAACACATGCATACACACAATGATGCATATGCATAATCTTTCCATTGAGAAGGTTGAGGACAATCTCAGCTGTAAAGAAGCAGATAAATAAATAATAAGCATAATATTTCATGAGTGTTTCTGGAAGGAGCTGATGTCTAATGTGCAGTCGACATCAGGTTGCTCCTGGCAGGTTTAATCATTTATTGACATAAAGAATAACTTTGTACACCAGCATGAAAAAAGGCCGAAAACAGCAGCAGCAAGACATTTTCCACCAACACATTAATTCACAGACTTTGTCTCACATGCAGTTTTACAGCGTTAAAGTCTTTATTCACCAAGTGGAGGAATAAATATAAAAACAGATGTTTTTTTTTTTTAATTATTAATGAAAGTAACTAAAAACACAACTACGGTAGTTGTGTGCTGGGAATAATTCAGCTTTACTGCTGAGTTTACATTCAAGAAAGTTTTATTTTTTCCACGCTGAATATCGTCAGTGAACATTCAATACGATTCTACATCAACACCCTAAATACACATAAAATTATAATAATAATGAAATTAAATAGTATTGACATGTTTTTTAAATATGGAGCTTTTACAATATTATTTTTTTACTGCGTCACAATCATAAAAGGCAATAATAAGATTTAAAAAAGAGTTTTGATTGTTCTATTTTAAATGTTTAGACTATTATGTTAAAGAGCTGCCATTAACAGTGTGTTAAGACCGAGATTGAAGCGTCAACATTAAAACATTTCATAAAAGTCTAACAAAATATGCATACATAATTTTAAAGCAAATTTGGCCCATAGTTAGTTTTCAAAAGATACAATATTTGATACAGTTGTATGTAAACATGAGTTTGAAACTCATTTTGCGTTAATTGAATTGTGTTGATATGCAATTTATTATTGACAGCCCATTATTAGGACTCAGCTTCAGTTATCGTTGCAATTTTATTGCTCCTATTCCAGATTTCTGTTTTGTTGTATTTTGACATTGCTGGTCTTTAAGCTGTATGGTTAGAAAACCAGGGTTTTACTACACAAGCTTTAAACCTTAAAAAAGTAAGAAATTAACAGAGTTCAAACACATTAAATAAAAGTAAGACCACAATTAGGGAAACTTCTGTATAGATTGTAGTTTTCTATCAGACATTCGTTGGACATGAGCAGCACTGAAACTTTAGGACCCAACAGACTTTATAAGAATAAAACACGTTATGATGATGGTTTTGTACATATCTTTTCTTGATGAGAAAAAAATAGGACTCCTTAAAAAATCTATTCAAGGCCTATAGAAACATCTCCATCTGTACAAAAACTTTTGTTACTCAAAGACACACGAGAATTTCACAAGTGACATTTTCCAGTATATTCCACTGTATACATACTGCTGCACACTACATGATGTATTTACAGCATAAGCACAGCTATAGGACGTACGGTAGGTTTAGTAAATGTATGGAATGATTATTTATTGTCTTCCTCTCACTTCTCCACGATGCTCAGTCTCTTTGACTTTATGAATGCCATCCCATGTGTCCTCATGTGAGTGTTCAGGTTTCCCTCCGTCTCGAAGACCTTCCCGCACACTTTGCATTTTGTGTTTGGTGTCCCGTCGTTGTTCTCATCTGTAACATCTAGTTGGTTTTCTCTTTGACTCTCCTCGTCTTCCTTGCCCCTTCCGCTGTACCTGCCGAGACCCTGTGGCTCCTTCAGCCGATGGACGATGAACAGGTGTCTGGCCAGAGAGCGGGGGGATGTGTAGCAGAGTCCGCACTCCTGACACTGGAAGGACGAGCCGTTGGACTTGTGCTGGGGGATGTGCTTGTGAAAAGTGGCAATGTCCTCAGTAGTGACGCCACACACGGCACATTTGTGAATTTTGAGGACGTTCACCTTGAGTCTTTTCAAAGGCTGTGAGTCTGAGCCCCTAGAGGTCATTGTTGGAGACCCTGTTTCTTCATCTGGCTTCCTTTTGGGGCTTTGGCTCTGAGTAAGAAAATATAAAAGGTAAAGTTAGGTTACAGTTTGGCCACATAGTGCAACACAACAAACTAAATTTAGCGACACAGAGGATAACTAGACATGCTAACTAGACCTGCTAATGCTGCTAACAACATCCTCTGTCTGCCTGAACGGACCAAACTCTGTGGACCCACTTGATTCCATGGGGGAACCTTGGATGTTCTCTGTCTTCTGGACCCGGTTCTGGTGAGCAGTCTGGGAGTGCAGCTGCTATGGTCCTTATTATCATCATGCTGCTGACTGGACCTGCTAACAAGACCACGCCGCTAACTAAACCACGTTGCTAACAGTACCATGGTGCCAACGGGACCATGTTGCCAAGAGAAATCTCATTGCTAACTGAATGTCACTGCTAACAGAATCATGCTGCTAACTGGACCATGTTGCTAAGATAACCTCACTGTCATCAGAACCACTCTGCCAATAGGACCATGCTGCTGTAGATTTATTTCTTTTTCACTTTTGGCGCCTTGTTTCTGTATTTTTGTTGCAAACTTTGAATAATTCCCAGTTTGTGTTAGTTTAGTTTATGTTAGTGCTTGCATTAAGTGTGTAAATTATTGCCAAACTGAACATTTGAGAATCGTGCTGCTGTTGTTCAGCGTATTGTTTTGCACTATTAGAGACTAGTTTGTATCTTAGATCCTTATTTACTGTTTCCTTTTCCAATTTATATTTTTGCTACTGTTGGATGTAACTGGGACCCTGTGTACACAATTTCGTTCCACCTCATGTACCACATGAAATGTGAATTACAGTAAAGAACTTGAATCCTCGAATCCTTGAATAAAGCAGAAAAGCAAACGACAGAACAAAAAACTGGTTCACAAAACACAAAATGGAACAAAATCCAGCTAAAAAAAAATTAACAACAAGTGGTATGCTGATATTGCGTCACTGAAGGATTTGAATCATAAATGTTTGTAGTTCTCAAGACGAGTGTTTATCTGGACTGGAATTTGATGTGGCAACCCAAATTTCAAAAGGAAACTTTTTTATGCCTTAATGTAGCCACGCACCAAGATGGAAGTCAGTATGCAACTTATTTTTCAAGTTTTCATGCTCACAACATGCACGGATACTTGGGGAGTGTTTTTTTATTATTTGCTTTGTAATGGGGGACAAAAATGATAACGACATCTGGAACAAACTAAAACAAAAGCAGAATACAAATCTATTAAAAAACAACAAATGTGGAAAATATAAAAACACAAAATATATAAACGGATAAAATTATTATTTTTTTTTATTTAAAAACACAGCTACAGTGACATTTTAAAAATAATGAAAATAAGTGTAGGCATTTTAATGTAAAACAACAAAATAAGGAAAGCTTTTGAATCGTCACAACAAATAAAGAGAACATGAGTTTCAAACAACTGAAGCAACTTAAAGTAGTCCCCAAAACAACAACACCAAAAAAACTAAATTAACTTCCAATAACTAACATCTCATAATGCTTTTTGTCATATTTTCTGTTGTGTTGTCAAAGTAAATGTAATGGTTTTAGTTGATTTTATGCCATCGTACCATCTGCCTGTCTGGTGCAGCGTCCACATCCTCAGTCTTTCCTCCTTTAACTCCGTGCATCAGCTGGATGTGCTGATCCAGCAGCACTTTCTTAGAGAAGGGCTGACTCAGAGCTGGACAGAGACTGTTACAAAGAAAAAAAAAAGACAGTGTTTATGACAAAAACAGTGATTCCTACATATACAACATGCACTTAGTGTTCTCCTAAAGCAATGGCTGCACAGACAGTGGCAGCAGCAGCTAGCTGTAGGACTTCATATGCAGCCTAATTCACTTCCAGCAATAATTTCAGACCATTTCTGATAACTATGTATTATAATACTGACGACATTGTGAAGGTTTATAAAATAGCGTTTGCATGAACCGCTATTCAATTTTAGAGATTAGAGTTGTTTCAAGACAGCAGAAATCCACTTTGGTCTTGACCCCACTCTGATAGCCATTAGCTTTTCAGTCCAGTCAGAAATAAAGTCTAATTCTTAGAAAAAGGGTAATTCAAAGCACTATCTACGACAAGTATAATGCTAATTTCTCATAACCTTTCCACAGAGAGCCATGTCTAATAATCAAATCAAGCTCTTTAAACTAAACTGAATCAGTGTAAGTGCTACAGCTAGATCCTCTTCAGATTTATTACACACCATTATAAAGAAAGTTGGGATGAAAATGGATCCAAAACATGCCTCTTGATATTTAATAAGTCTGCAGGACAACATACAGCTCATTACAGATTTCAGGTCATCAGAGGAGTAAATGTAGCTTTGTGGAATTGCTTTTTTTAATTGATTACCTATGAACTATTTCCAGTCCAGTAAACTAAACAGCCCAAAGCATGACAACATTTAAGTGAATAAGTACCAAAAAAAGCAACATTACACTCATTCCATTGCCCCTAAATAATAAATACTGTTTCCCAGTTTTGACAAATGTTCCAGAAATTTTTAATTATGAATCGGACACTCAACACACAAACTCCTTCAAATATTACTACTTTTGCAAAGCTCACTTATAGTCAATGTTGTTCACTCAATACTGCCCAGCCTGAGCCCAGGCTAATCATTATTAGGTTGTTGTGTTTCAAGTAGGGGTGCACTGATTTATCGGCCCCGATTTCCTTAATTTTGGGAAATCGGAAATAGGCTGATACTTGCATGAGTAACCGATTTTTAACGATTTTTTAGTTTTAACAATTGTCTGAACTTCATTTATACTTCAGAGCACTACCCCATGGCCAGTCAAAACAAGTTGGTATTGTTTCTAGGATATTGTTCAAGGGTACGTTTTTCAGTACAATCATATTGGAAAATTGAGAGTGCATTGTGGCCTTATAACACTTAGTGTCGCTTATAAAACAAAATCGGTATCGGCCAAAATCGGAATCGGCAGGGCAGACTTTTTAGAAATCTGTGATCGGCCAGAAAACTGCACTCGGTGCACCCCTAGTTTCAAAGCATTTTGTTTTGTATTTAAAGGCCTGGTTTGACTTCCCACTAGATTTGAACAGTTTTGAGAGGTGAACTTACCTTTATGAAGTATGTTTGGTTGAAGTGCACAGCTAAAGATATGTGTCAAGAGTGTAAGAAGCAAAATAATGAGACGTGTTTTAGCAATTAAAGGGAGTTAAAACAGTAGGTGTGTGTACTCACGAGCAGGTGTAGACCTTCCGCAGGCCCTTGTGTTTCAGACGGTTGTGTCTGCAAAGACTGTGCGAGGAGCTGAAAGACTTGTCGCACTGGCGGCATGGGTGTTTCTTCAGGATCTGCAGTTTGAAAAGGAGAACAGTGAGTATATTTTCAAAAAGCACTGAAGGCGTTAACTTAAAAAAAATAAAAGCAAGTATTAGGGGGATGCTGAGTTTTGTTATGATTAATACAATATGTGATTCTTTTTTGTTGGAGCAGGACTTCAATTTCTTGGTTATCAAGCTGGACGAGTTGGTGGTGAGAAGTGATGGAGACGTAAAAGGCCACAGATGTTTTTCACTTACTAAAATCAAATGTTATAACTCATATTACCATGTGTGTGTGTGTTAAAGAGTTGTTTCTGTCTGGATCAGAGTGTTGCATAAGCGTGGAGCCTTTCATCCAAATAAGCAAAGAGGCTGCAAGAGTCGTCTGACCTTGCCTTTGTCTGATAACGATTATAAAAAAGACGCTCTTTTAGGATCTCGGTGAACAGACTTGGAGACGAAGCGTCAAACATTTGCCTGCTTGTATTTCATCCTCTGTTCCATCTTGCAAGATTAAACCTGGGATAAAAAAAAAAGATCTACCTCTCCTGTGTGGCATAATTATTCAGAGCTATTACAAGAATAATATGAAATTGTCTTAACAAAAAAGTTTTTAATGTTCTCATAAACACACACTAAACATATTCCTGAAGTAAAAAACAAAAGCAGAGTCATGCAGTTAAACAGTTCCTGATTTATAAAGCTCCATTCACCTTGCCGTGTTCTTGCCTCATGTGCGTCAGAAAGACCTCCCTGGAGCTGAAGGAGGTCTTACACTCTCCACATGTGTATCCTGCGCTGAGGGGCTTCTTCATGTCAGCTGAACAGTTCCTGTTGGTCGTCTTTAATGGCGAAGGCTTTTTTCCTCCTTTGTCTTGAATATTGACATGTCCTCCATCTTTGTTGTTGTTGTTAAGGGGGATGTTACTCTTGGTGCTGTTGGAGTTAGTCGGCTTGGTGCTGAGGGGGAGGTTGACACCCAGGTTTGGTGGACCCTCTACGGTCTTCAGGGTTCCATGAATGGTCTAAAATTAGCCACACAAGCACAGTTATACCTTTTTAAAAAGTCATCATTATGACCTTTTAAACTTCACGAACCCCTTCAAGACAGAAATATCATCACTTTGATTCTTGGATGTATTTTATCTTAGCTGTAGTCATGGAAAAAATAAAGTTTACCCTCTTTCAATTCTACAGTTTTAATAAAACACAACTAATTTGGGCTTTACCAGGACTTGACACTATTTAAATATAACCTCAAATGTACAAAAACACACAGCAGGTTTCTCCACATTTTTATTCAGTAAACTAAAACAAAATGGAAAGTCTTTGTGTGGAAAAAATTAGTCCGCCCTTGTTGCTTCCAAAAGATTTAGGCTGAAATGAGGCAACCAGGTGCTGCTAATGAATCATCAACAAGTGTGACTCCTCTGTAAAGAAGGCACGTGTTGACACAGTGCCAAGAGGTAAAACACCAGCGATGTCCTTAAAGATGCAGCTTCTGTTGCCATTCATCAATGTGAGAAGAGTTGAAGGTAATTTTCAAGCTATTTGGAGTCCTTTATTCTACAGAGAAAGAGATCCAAAACAAGTTTCAAACATTTAAGATCGTTCTCAAACTTGCCCAAACAGGAATTAAAGCCTCCGCTTTTTATGAAAATCCATGGCAGCACAACTTTGACTGATAAAGTTGCATTTGAATGAACTATGTGACTTTTGGAACAATGTTTTTTCACAGGTGAGACTAAAGTAAAGATGTCTGACTATATTCCACATTGTCATGTTCAGTAAAAAAACAAACGCAGCATATTAGCACAAACACTTTATACTAACTGTGGACGATGATTCGCGTTTGTTTGCAGCCACAGGATCTAGACACCTTACAATTCCTCTTCAGACCAAAGTATTTTAGATCAAATACGAGGTCAGTCTGAGAGCTGAAGCATGGGCCAAACTGGGTCATGATGCAACAAGACTATTATCCCAAACCCAGCAGCAGATCTACAACAAATGCATGAAAAATACATAACTAAGGATATTGCAATGGTCCAGTCAAAATCCAGACCTCACCCTGATTGAATGCTGTGGCAGCACCTAAGAGAGCTGTGCAGAAACCAGTGTCTACAAACCTGAATGAACTGGAGCACTGCTGTGAAGAAGAGTGGGCCAAAATTCCTCTTCAGTGAACAGAGAAACTGATAAAGTCATTCAAAAACGACTACTTCTAGGTACTGGTGCTAAAATGGTTCAATACGTTTTTGAATCATGGGGTGGGATTAGATTTCACAGCATGTTTTTTTTATTTGTTTTGTTCACTAAATGAGTGGAATATGTTCTATATTTATGTTTGATAATATTTGAAGATATTTAGTACTTGATAAGATCATTTTTATCATATCCTGATGTGTAAAACTAATTGTAGAGTTCATAAAGACATTTGTTATAAAACGAAGGAAGGGCCTACCTTGATGTGATCCAACAGCAGCTGTTTCTGTGCGTAGTGCGTGGAACAGTCGGGGCATTTAAACACTGAAACTTTGTGACTGAGGACGTGCTGATCAAAGTGCGTGCAGAGCAGTGACTGCAGAGTGAACACGGTATCACACATGGAACATTTATATATCACCCTGAAAGACGAGAAAAATGGTCAAACTTAAAAAAAAAACTTTGCAAAATGTACAAGACTTGAATTAGCTCTGCAATAAAAGCACAAATGATACATTATGCTTCTTATCTAGATGTCAGATTTTAATTACCGGTATCCATGCAATTAATAAATAAATGCAAAATTCTCAAACCCATGATAAAACCCATATGCTGAAAGAGCCAGAATAAAGCGTCAATACAAAAGCAGCTGCTTCAGAGCCAGAATGTCAGCAGTGCTGATAATGTTAGATGGTGCATAAGGTCATTGAAGGTCACAATGTGGAACAAACAAGACAAAGTTAAGCCACCACATCTAAAATCCACTGATGAGGAAGTCACAATGATTTTCCATGCTAAAACATATCAGACATGGATTTTACACTTGGATGGAAACACCTGATAATGTGGAGGCTTTGGAACAGCTTTAGATTACAGCAGCTGGATGTTAACACCTACTTGGGCTCTGCTGCCTTCACTCCTGGATGCTGTGTGTACGCATGGGAGTGTGTTCCAGGTGCAGACTTGAAGGCCATGGGGCAGAGAGGACATTTGTAGAAGATTTCACAATGGGCGCTTTGGATGTGAGACTTGAGAGTCGCCGCATCGACGAAGATCACACTGCAGTGGATGCAGCTGGTGGGAGAAACAGAGGAAAATTGACTTCACTGTTCAGCCTAAAATAGTTTAACTGGTTTAAGCTCATTCCATGGATCTACTGGTTTGTGATTTTCATATTTTTCTTGTTTCTAGTAGCCTAAAGTTTTGATTAGGTTTCACAATCTCATTCTTTAAAAGGACAATTTTGTTGGGACTTATTCATTTTCTATCAAAAATAAATAACATCATCACTCATGTGCAAATGCAACATTACTGTGCAACTCAAGTAGACATACATTTCCAAAATACTTGTACATCTCACAAAAAATAGGTTGTAATTTACTTTCTCAGAGCTGCAACACATTACCAGTTTGACAAAACTTATTTTCCGATTAATTTCTCAGCTAAGAACATAAAGAACAACACTTTCACCAATAAGATCATGCAAATTTTCCATGTCTTCAAACAAAGTAATACATATATTCAAGTATTTGTTCAAATATGAGAAAGGAGCAGTAACATATCTGTGGGAAACAGTGTAAAAAATGAAATGTACAGTGAACTGTGGATAGTTTTACAACCTCTCATATGTTGATGAGATGAAACATAAAAAAAAAAATCATTTGTTTGTTCTCCAAAAAAATAATTTACTCATGATTTCAGGTTGGTTTTATATTTTTACGCAACTTAGATTTTGCACAGCAACCATTTGTTTGAGGCTCAATTTTTTGTCTGCATTTCTGCCGTGAACAGGTGATGGTTTTTAATGTAAATATAACATCTTTGATATTGCTCCCCTTAACAAATAAAGCAAAAACAAAAGCTAATTAAAATTATAATTCTCATATTTCTTTGAATATTTAAGACATACATTTTCTGAATTTCAATAATAAAAAACAATTTGTGTAAACTGTATCTCAGGACAGGCATTTTTGTTTGTCCTGGTTTTCATTGAGATGGACTCACCGATAGCCGACTCTGCGGGTGTAGTGCAGGCAGTTCTTGGTGACGTGCGACTGGAAGTGGACAGAGCGACAGCTGGCACCACACTCAGGGCAAATATAAGGAGACTTGTGCTGGTGGATTCGCTGGTGTGACAGAAAGCTGCACCGATTTGGCAGAGGCATTTGGCAAATAGTGCACATTTTCTATGAGATGAATAAAAATCAAAAAGTGAATTTTAGTTTCAAGATGAGACAGGCATCATTGTGCACAAAGTGTCTTTGATCTTACAGTTTACTGTACTTAAAAAAGTCTTGTCATTTTTGTTAATGCATTTTTTTCCTACTGCAACTATTTTACATTTTGGGATGCTGGCTGCTTTTTCTCTCAGTTTATGTACCTGACCATCACATCATGTTGTGCAGTGAATTAAAAATAAAAAATGAAAATGGACAAGTGAAGTGAAATGGACATGAGAAGTGTCTGGAGTCTTTTTATGCCTCATTGATTTCTAGGTCAGAGTTAAATGGCTTAATACACAAAATCCTCTGAAATAGATCAGTTACTGAACTGAAATTGAGTAAAAACACAGCCAGTGTCCAATAACTTTAAAATGCCTTCAGAAAAACTGCAGGAAAAATGGCTCAAAACAACTTGAAGGTTTACAAGAAAATCCTTGAAGAAATATAAATACATGAGGAATGCCTTGAAACTTTTGCAGTTTCACAGTCACATGCACACACCTGGCTACTGGATTCTGATGCTTGCTGATAGTGCATGGCTAGTGAGATGTCATCCTGGAACATTTCGTTGCACTCGGAGCACTTGAAGCTGTGCCGGGAGAGCTTTGATGAATCATCCTCCAGGGGCATGGCTGCCACAAGAGGAGCATTGCACGGAGATGATATGACTCCAGTTTGGTGATCAGTAACTTTTCCTTGGATCTTTTCTGTAGGTGCCTGTGTTTGAGAGGTAGACAAAGTGGGTGGTGTAGCTGAATTTGTTGTACTAATCATCTGATCTGCAGGAATAGGTTTTAGGATTAAATGTGAGCACTGCATGACCATCCCTTTGTCCTTGTGGCCTCGGGCATGAGACAAGAGGCTGCATTTATTATAAAACACCAGACTTTTGGCACAATGATTGCAGGTGACCTCAATTCTTACACTGCGGCGCTCATAGTGTTGTGTCAGGCTCTTCTCAAGAGCAAATGAATCTCCACACTCCAGGCACTTGTAGCCCCGGGAGGGTAAAGAGATACAGGCTGACCTTGGTGGAGAGAGGTTCGGGACATACACAGGTAGAGGATTCATGCTACTCAAGACTTTATTGAATGCATCCACCACTGAGCTTTGGGAGCTGGTGAGCACTTGAACCCGAGTGACTTTCTTTGTGACTTGGCTGGTGAGAACTGTCTGTTTGACTTGTGGTTGTTGGTGCTGGGGTGGTTTGGAGGAAGACATGGTCTGCTGAATTTCACAGGGAGCAGAGGACATTGTTTGAGGCAGCAGATTAAGGTTGCTAAGATGGACTGTCTTTGGCACAAGTTTGGCATTAGCTAGACTTGTCGCAGGCACCATGACAGTCTGTTGCTGGATGGCATTAGCAGCTTTCAAGATGGCACTACTGGCACTTTGCACTGATGCAGCAGGAATGACGGTTGCTTTGACTGTGGTGTTGTTGGCCAGTTTAAGGTTGATAACTTGCGAACCAGCGGACTTGACTGCTGAGACTGGCAGAAAAGCTGTTGCCACAGGCTTAATTGTCATTTGCTTTGTTAATTCAATTGATGACCCCCCGCTGGTAGCTACTACTGTTGTTGGGAACGTGGGCTTTGTGGGTGAGGAGATAATTGCATTGGTGCTAAGCATGATACACGTACTAGTTTCTATTTGTTTTAGACCTTCAGAATCAAAATCTGGGAGGACTCGTGTGACGGTACGTTTGATCTGTCCACACGAGGTTTTGATTGTTTTGATCCGAACTTTTGGGATGACTGGAGCAGTGTCTGTGTTTGAAGCAGGTGAATCTTTGCTGCTACTTTCGCTGGTGGCACCAGAGGGGATTTCTGGTTCTTTTGTTGGCAGCTTAGTTGCAAATTCTGATTCTGATACCTGTTCCTGTATTCTGTCTGAGTTTCTGGGATTCTCTTTGGCCTGACTAGGTTCTATCTGTAATGTGGGAGAAGGAGACGCAACCGTTTCTTCAGGATCAAGCTTTTTGGCACTGAGTGCTGCTATAGCTGCTATACAAGATGAAAGTTTCATCGAAGATTTGGCTTTGACTTGGGAAATACTGGACAAATCAACAAGCCCTAACCTTTTATCAGCATCTCTGCTGCCTTGACTTTGAGATTTTAGAACTATGTTAAGGTTATCATCTAGTGAAGGTGATGGAGGTGGTTTAGGGGAGTTAGAGCACTTGACAAGGCCATCTCTGCTGTTTTGATCAGGTTTGTTGTCTTTGTTTGTTTTGGGTTGAGTTGAACAGTCCAGTACAAACAATTTGGGATTTTGGTCCTCTGTATTATGGGAACTAAAGAAAGTTTCCACTCTTTGCTTTTCCATGGAATCATCTACCTCAATTTTGTCTTCATCATCAAACTCTTCAGCGCTAGATATTGGGCTGAACTGACTGAAAGTAGAGGATTGGTGGGTAAGTAGAAGCCCCTCCTCTCTGTGAGTTTTCCATCCATTTTTGGTGGAATGAGTTGGTAATGTGGGTAAGCAGCCATTATGAAGTCCATTACCAACAGAATGTGGCTGAAGATGGGAGTTGAAATCCCTATCTTTCTCAGACCCCATTTTATCCTGTTCACTTGGCTCCACATTTTGAATGTTCTTTACGATGACGCTCACACTAGTGTCGTAAGGGTTGCAAGAGCTGTTGTCCTCATCTTCAGGGGAAATCTCCTCGGAAATGGGGTGCTTGAGTTGTTCGTTATGTTCATCTTGATGACCAGATTCAATGGCAGCTTTAGGATCCACCATGTCAGGGATGTTAAACGCTGCAAGTAGGTCATCAAAGTCTGGCGTCTTCATGTCTCCCATGTTCCTTGTCCTCTTCGGTTGAGAAGGTCACTGTGAAACAGATGATTTCAAATAAGTGTTAATTATCTGAGGTAGTTTTGACAGGTCAAAAAAGAGTCAAATATGTACTTTGCAGCAGTGCATAGAATAAAGAAACAATTATTTTCCCATACAAAATACAGCTTAAAATCTGATGATAACTAATTTTTCCATAGAGCATTGTTGCTGCACATACAAGTATTCATAGTACAAGTAAATAGTTTTTGTCAAACTCTATAAAAATGATGAATAATAAGAAACCACTGTAAATCCTGTTTGTCTGTAAACTTGGGCATCAGATTAGACATATAAAATGCACTCTTTATTGTAAGATGCTTGACAAAAATGTTTTTTAGAGTCATTCTCTTTTTGATGGATGATTCATTGGCGGTTATTTAACCCTTAGAGACACAGTTTAAAACCGATTATATCGGGAGGTTCTCAAATGACTGCACCACTGACCAGAGTCATTTTTTTCATTTTTGTCATCTGTATTTTAAGAATGGCTGTAAAAAAAAAGATGTCCTCCAGAAAAAAAGTAGTTGACAAATGTGCATATGAATAATCCTTATAAAACCAACAAAGTAAAAGAACAATATGTATAATAATTTTCTTAACATTTAGTGAACATTGTTGATCTTTACAATTGAAGCAAATTACAATCAATAGACAATTTGAACTTGTAAATCAATGTGAACATTTTTTTAAACTGATGGCTGAAGTGGAATTAGGTACTCAACACCTTTTTCAATATTTACATAATTAGACACTGATTATATGAATATATATCCATCCATCCATCCATCCATTATCTTTACCTGCTTCTTCCTTTTTTGGGAGGTTGTGTGGCTCACTGGTGCCAATGTCCAGCAGTCATTGTGAGAGAGGTGGGGGACACCCTGGACAGGTCTTCAGTCCATCACAGGGACACATAGAGACAAACGAGACAAATAACCATTCACTCTCTCACCCACACCTAGGGACAATTTAGAGTTACCAATCAGTCTAATATGCATGTTTTTGGTCTGTGGGAGGAAACCGGAGTACACAGAGAAAACCCATGCATGCACAGAGAGAACATATGAAACTCCACCCAGAAAGGCCCTCGGACCAGGATTTGAACCGGGGCAACCTGCTCGCTGAGAGGCAGTAGCTCTACTAACTGCACCACTGTGCTGCCCCATGTATATGTATATACTGTACATATTAGGGGTTGAACGCCTACATAATTTTAAAACTCGGCATTAACATTATAAAACTCGAGTCGAACTCGAGTAGTTGATGACATCATAGGATCTCAAGATACAAAAATAAATAAATAAATAAAACCGCAAAAAACGTCATTTATTATTTACCAAAAAAAAAAGGCCAACAAAACATTGGGAGCGTATATTATGCTCCTACCATTTATCATAGTGCAAATAAGTCACAAGAAAACTAAAACTATTAGTCATTTTTATTAAGCTGCAAAAGTGAAAGAAATGTGCAGCAAAACGAAATTAAAAACAGTGGGGTGGACGACCACTCCGCACCACCGCCCGCAGTGTTGCACATTAGGTTTAGTTTTAGAGATTAATATGTTTATAGGTTTTTTATAGGTTTAGAGATTAATATTTGTTGCTTTTTGTTTGTGAAACAAGGCCAGAGGAGGCTGGTTCTGGTCCGGTTGACTGGACCCGTTGTTACACCATATTCTGTGACCTGCAACAGTGCATGCAACACCGCCCCCTACAGTAACAATATACAGTGGTCACAGAATATGGTGTAACACCGGTTCGCAACGAGCTCCAAACAGTCAGGAAGTTGATTCATTTTCTGTTTCCTTACGGTAGTTGAACCAGAAGATTCATCTTTACTGAAATATTTCCATACTATTGATGCATTTCTACCTGTTTGCCAAGACTGGGTCTGCTCTGCTCCATCCGTCTGGATCACATGACACGTGACACAATGACGTAACGGCGACATAATGACGTCACTACGAATACTCGATGTGAAATTTAAAAACGCGAGAGATGTCCTAGGAATTAATGTGTAGATTACTCAAGTAGTCTGTTAAAGCCCTAATATATATATATATATATATATATATATATATATATATATATATAT